ACTAGAAGTAGTACTTACCATATATCCCATATAGCAGGGTTTCCAGGCAATTCTCTCATTACTATATTTATTAATGGCGCAAGTACTTCACAGACATACGACCCTTCGTTAATCGGTTTTCTCTTCTTTGTATAGGCTTCATACTTAGGTGACTTCCAAACTTTAAAAATTTGTATCACTTTGGCTCCCAGTCAGTTCCTCGCAACCTTCCCGCAACTCAAATCACGAGGATCAACCAATCAGATTTCACCACCCTTGATCTATTGACTCATTACATTGATTAATTAATTTACCTCATCATGGTCCTAACACATCACTCGATATTTTTTTTATAACTACCACCACCTAGAGAATCTTCTCACCATGTAAAAAAATCAACTATGGAGTTCTCTGACGCCCAACTTCGCATCCTTTATTGATGAACGAAAAAATAGAAATGTGGAGTATCATGCTACTACAAATAAAAAGAAGTATCTCTTTTGGAACGAGATTGCAGAAAAAATAAACGATCAAGAAAATACTAATTACTTCACTAGTGAAGATGCTTTTAAGAAATTGCATAACGTTGGATCATTTCATTTCAATGGAGGTCTTGATTGAAGTGAATTCAGATGAAATGTTGCCAGTCATTACGGAGCAACCTTCATTGTTAAAATAAGTTATTAACTCCGCTGGAGAGAAATGGGTACTTTTAGGCAAGTATATTTTCTCTGCCATATCGTTTCTTGGAAATAATAACTTGGGGGGAAATCTTAAATGCACGATAATTGTATCGGCACTAACTTTTTTTAATAGTACTTCTGTACGATATTACTGATATTTTAGTTTAAAATTTTTCAAAGAAATGGCACTTTATTTTTATAATACAATGATAAATATATCTTGAGTACACCATGCACAAATTTTCACCAATAAGCCTTTGCAAATTTGAATATAGCATTGCATATTAAGAAAAACAAAATAAGCGAATATATATTTAGCTAATACTATGAAAGAATTTGTCAACAGAAAAGAGAATTCAATATGCTAAAAATAGATTAGAAATTCTTGTAAAATCGCCTCGAAGATTTTTTATAATGTCATTTGGTAGTTCAGGTATATCTCCTGAAAAAAATCCTTAAGTACGCCATATTATTCCTTAACTTATTTATTTTTTTGGGGTGCGGGTTTCAGTCAACTTCGCTTCATTTTCAGGTGCAAGATGCCGTCGCTTTCTCTGTGTGTTTTCTAAAAAAAACTTTTTAACTACTTTTTCCGTCTCAAGTGATCTTTCCTACATGGATCAATAAAATAAATATTTGTAGTAACTATCATAAACAAAGAGCAGTCAGTGCTACTTACTTCAAGTAATTTGAGGATACAGTATGCATCCTCAAGAATTCCGCAGTCACTATCGTCTGATGGTAACCTGCAACGGTCGACCATTCCAAATCTATATATTCCAGCTCCACACCAGTCCATTGCATAAAAATTGAGTTCAAGTCCTACGCATATAATGAAATTAACTAGAATGTCTAACCTGAATAAGTTTAATGGTGGTGCATCTTACAAGACTTACCAACTTGGAGCCAGCCGTATATGATTACACTCGTACGTTTGTCATTTGGTACATGTTTGCATTCTCTTAGCAAACGGTTGATACCGTCACGCATAACTATCATTAGCTTTAGTTTATCAAGGTACCTCTTCTTACGGCAAGCAGTTGGTATACCAAGAGGTCCTAATCCCCCTGCAACTTCTCCGTATATAACTTCGAATTTATTGGCCGTCTTAACTAAAGTACTTTTCATATCGACTCGCCTGCCTATTCGCGCTCTTTTAAAAGGACTTCCTTTCTCATTGCGTGCGTCATTAGTAGGTAAAGCCTGGACTTCTCCCCTTATATATAGAGAATAGCTAATATTAATTCTAAATATCAATCAAAAAAAACAAATGTAGATAAATAACCTACCAAACATTTTTAATATGATCAGAGGTAAAAACTCCGCGAAATAATGGAAAGGTCGAGCACATTTTCAATTCTTCCTCTGTCATCATGTTTTGAAAGGTATGCATATCGCTTTTCCTATATTGGCAGTCGAGAATTAATACTATAACCGAATGGCAAAATATAACCAAAGAAGCAAAGAAAGCTTATACGTACATAAATTGGATGTTTACGTCCAATTTTTCAATACCGTATACCTTTTTCGTACATTCATTATCAAAATAATCTATGATATTTTTTTCCGCAGGCTTCGTTTTCCATTTAATCTTGTCGGCAAAATCCTGCGACAATTGCAATATGTTCTCTGCAGTGAACTGTTTACAATCGTACAGGCTTTCTCCGGTCAAATCTAATACTCCCCAGTAAGCAGGGCTGTTGGATGGTAGAATGTATCAATAGTCAGGCCATTACTGAAACTATAATAAGATAATTCCAAACTTACGTGATGACTCTACGGGTTTTAGGGATACAATTCTGATATTTACCGAAAGATCTGATTACATTTTCACACATATATGGTGGATCCTGTTAAGATATAATTAGTTTGCTGAATATATGTTCACCATTGTTAACACTAGGATTTACCTTTGAGGATCTATCATTACTTGAGGGTAGTTGCTTTTCCTTTTCTAGTGCTTTTTCATTAATGTTTTCCAAAAGGGCGTCTTCATTAGATTCATCAAATAATGATGCTAATTCTTCATTCGATTCGTTGTCCTCTCTCTTCCTTTTCAAATCATTGTCACCGTTAGCAGGAGTGAAGGCTCCGGTTTCATCCTTCATTTGTATTTCGATTTATTGTAGCATATTGCTTTTGAATACAAACATTACGCACTAACAAAAAAAAATAATACTAACCTTCGAAACAACAATAGGATTTTGAAAGCTACCACCGTCATCGTTCATACCGGATTTTGTCCCCGAGATAACATTTTTTTCCACCTTCTCCACATTAGCAGATATAGCATTACATGCGGCACTATGGGAAATTGTTTGTACTTTTCGCTATAATCAAATCCGTAAACTCATTAGGAGGCTTCATTAGTAATGCGATATCAAATATAACTTACTTCAGCATGTTTTTCGCGCATTTGTAAACAGTAATTGAAGAAGTTATTCTGAGTACGTTTTTTTGTTGACTACATAATTAGGAAAAAGTTAACTATTTAAAATTTAGTACGAGTTAACAGAGTAAAAGAAACGCACGGTCCAATTTTGTCGAAGATCATATATAGATTCACGCGTTTTTTCTGAGGTTGTCTGTTCTAATGTATCAAGATAACTAGTATACGCATTTTCTAGATCCTCCCATGCTTTTTCTGGCGATAAGTAATCATAATCAAAGTCTTTAACAAAATCACTGAAACGCAGAAGTGTTGATTTTTCCATTGAAACTTTGAAAACTTTGTATGAATGAAATTTGACGCGTATCGGCGTAGTATGATTGGGTTATATATCTCGTGATCAAAAATGCCGATCGACCAATTGATATAATAAAATATTATGCCTAGTAAGACTTGCATCTTAAAGAGTCAGGCTTGTGCAGTGAATTCCGCTAGTCCTTCTACAAGGCCCGGAGTCTCCCCACTTGTCTGTTGTGCAGTGAACTCCGCTAGTCCTTTACAAGGCCCGGAGTCTCCCCACATGTGCTCTTCTTTATCAAAGCAGATAAAAAAAAATTCACATATGCGTTATAGAAAAAATTTGATGCAAATGTCCTGGAATGGACGAAAATTTATTGATTATTTTTTTATATAACTAATCAGAAAATGCTAGAGAAGCAAGCGAAATGTATGATGCTATCAAAGAGGGAGGGAGTACGCGGATCCTAGGCCATTTAATGCGAATCCCAGCATCAAGTTATTTCTTTGCTCTCAGAATAATTTCTACAGATAAATTTGTTTCTATATCTATTACTAACTACAAGATTCTCAGCCTCATACTCCTTTATTACACTAGATTTTAGAAATAAATAATCATACACATATCTACGCTTATACATATCACTTCTGCCCACACAGACTATGTAAAAGATTATTTCCCGCAAGAGAGCTCCACCGAGATGAAAAAATTTCGAATCTATAGCATAAATACCGGAGATTATCAACTGAGGTAAAAATAAGCATTACAATATTTCCGATTCACACTTACCACTACGGTTCATTTTCACAGCATTCCCTTCCGCCTCGTATTCAAGAAATTTGTTGCTTGATGTGTTATAATAAAGGTGTTTCGACTTTTTTATCATCAATATTATACCGCGCCAAACATCTTTATTTGATATACTGCGACAGATTTCGTGGCATATGATTAAAATCAGGTGAAATTTGTGAAGCCACAAAAATAACACTGCGCCGATGAGACACATTCTGGCAATCACGATTTTCTCTGCGAAAATCAAATATGCAGAAAGGATCAAGAATGGTAATATATCCGCTTTGACTTTAAGCATCTATAAATCAAAAAATTTTTGATTAACATCATGATGACGTAAATCTAGAATCAAGCTGAGAAATCAAACCAACTTACTTGGTTATTACTTTGCGGAATATACTCGTTTGATATTGATGATTAAAATAATGGTAAGTTATTTCGTTTGATTTTTGTTTTATTTGCACAAGGCGGATAAAAGAGTTCACTAACTAAGATTTCACCTTTTTATATAATTTGCAGGATCAACGCTTTGGGGGAAATTACGTTAATATGATCGCATCCCGAAAATCTGATCAACGGTATTTACAATAGAGTATACAAAGATCGTCAGGGAGAGTTTTTATTAATAAATTTTCATTGAGTACATGTGGGAAAGTTCGAGAATAAATGAATGCTATACTACGGTCTATACAAAAAATGTTTCGTATGAATGTAATATACGTAATATACAGTTAATATGAGCGAAAATCTTAGGTCGCATCCTATTCATTTCTGCAAGAATTCCTAAGAGTTACGAACCACAAATCTGTGTAAATCAGGGGAAGCTTTTTTTTTTATTAATAGTTCAGTTTGCGTAATAAAAAATATACCAGTAAAAAAATCATGACCTACTTACAGTTGACGTTATTACTGCGCATGGCAGATATAATTCATGAGCACATGATATTTACCGGCGTGATCGATCTCACTATGCTACAATTGCGAACTTGAGTTTATTGCTTGAAGTGTTGCAAGTAAGACAATATTCCAACTTATCTTGGAAATACAATTTCGCTAACTCAGGATCATAAGGGAACTGATTCCCATTTTTGAGGTACCATGAGCCATGTAATCCATAATTTCCATGTTTTCCATCACAAATAGGGCATGGTGAGCTCCACGGCTGAGGTGATGTAAAATTATAATTATCAATCCCTCTGAAACTATTTCGGAATTTCAAGTATGGGAAGTGCTCTAAGACTGACTGGATAATTGATTCTGGATTGGGTCTGGCTTCGAAGGTGATAGGCTCGAAATCAGAGGCTTGAGATAGTCCCAGCTGAAGGCGCTCAGGGCAAGGGACTGGTTCTGCTGACATATCTATCACAGCTTCCGATAATTGCCATGGCTCATTTCCAGTTTCTTTCTTATATGTTTTATATAATTTGGAGCGAATTTTATCTGTTAAAACGCTTGGTAACCCGCTTAATTTGGCATGCCAATCTAGATATTCGGGGGTTAATACTTTATCGGACTTGGTCATATTGTCTTTTTATATGATTGCAAATCAATTTAATTTATAGTAAGTATGGTCGACGTAGATTAGCCCTGTAAAAAAAATAGTTTCCCAAGGGAAACGCAAATAAATATACAGTATTGTAAAATAATGAGACTACGCAGTTATCTCAATTTCACACTGTTCACACTTAATAAAATAGGATCCGGTTTTATATCTACCTTCTATGCTTTCCTCATCATCATGACCTAACTTGCATAATGGGCATAATGTCTTATCAGTAATGCCATAATAATCGAAGTCTTCACTACTATATTCTCTATATAAGTTAGGATATTGGTCCAGTGTCTTGTTGCGAAAATAGGTGCGATCATAAGTTGTGGTTACATTAATCTGATCGTCATGATTCGTGACGGAAGTCACATGATTACGATTTGGTACCTCCGGTGTCCTTCCTGCCGAAGTCACATTCTTGATAACACTTTGAATTTGATTAATAGTAAGGCTTGATATGTCATAAACACTGAAAGTAACTTGCTTAATTTTATCTATTCCCACTCCACCTTCCCCAAATAACATACGGATTTTTTTAGCTCGTAGGGTTCTCATACGCAAGTTTCCCAATGTGATGCCGGGTAGATGCTCTAGCATTTCTTTGTATATTTGTGATCTAGCTGTTTTATCTGAAGCTCCAGTGTTATGGCGAATCTCATCAACTTTATTTTCAAAACTATTTGAATAATAGAGCCAAGATAAGATCACCTCGTGTCCAGCTCGTATTGCATTCTGGAATAAATGAACTAAGCTCTGTGTTGTATCTAGAGATGATGACGGATGTTTTGTAGTTTCAGAGGAGAGTGACGGAGCAGTAATGCTACCACTGAGCAATTCCTTTGTTAATTCTTGTTCTATATTCTGATTTTTACTAAGCTCAGTGACATCATCATCATCATCCGCTGTGACTGGAATAATTTTTTGCCGATCGTCACGATTCGTGACGGAGTTTCCATTTTTTTCCGAATTTTCCGAACTGCTCCGATCATCATGACCCTTCACAGAAGAAATATCCTGGGAAATTGAGGATGCCTCTTGATTAGCCGATTCATGCAGGAGTTTCATCTCCTTATTGCGCTGTCTAATCTCATCACTAACTTTTTTCTTATGCACCTCATTCAAGAAAGCATCCGTTTCCTTATCTTCCAAGGATGTCTGATCACATTGGTCCATAACAGGTATATTAACAGCTGGTACGGATAGCTCTAGTAACCCCTCTGGTATCGGTTCTTCAGGTAATGAAGTATCCATTTCCATAGGTAAATGATCTGCAAGCGAGTTGAAGTTAGATGAGCTGTTATTGGGAGAATTGGTTACCTTAGAAACATTATCACTTAGCATCTGCTTCTGCTCCACTTTCGTGATCCTATCTCTAAACTCAGCATTCTCAGACTCGAGTTTAGTGGTAACTGTTTTATTTTTCTCTAGTTCCTCGATTCTGGCCTTGAGTTCGGCATTCTCAACATCACGTCTCTTACTCTCTTCCACAGCCTGTCTTAGAAGCTCGGCAATCCTGGCCTTAAGCTCAACTTTCTCGGACTCAATATCAGCAAACTTCCTTTTAAGATCAGGGATCTCGGCATTCTTATCTTTAAGCTCAGTATTCTCCTTCCTAAGCTCAGCAATCTCAGCTAAGAGCTTGGAATTTAATTCTCTCAATGAATCGATGGATTGCATGTTCAATGATAATTTTTTATATAAAATGGAATAATTCAAAAGTTCGTTAGCGTAGATAAAAAACGAGGCAATATCCTCATCGGAATTACTGATTTATTGACGTAAAAAAATAAATACAAGTTTATGTAATACATAAACTTGCTTTACAAAGTGAAATTGCGTTTCTATACTAATGTTTGTAGACCACACAATTTTTCGCTTGCCTACGCTACTAAACGCTACTAATACACATTATTCCACTCCATGGTCCCGGTTTCATTGTCCCAATTATCGATATTCTGGATAAAATAAAAACGGTCGTCAGTTATACATGTATGAGGTATGCAGTTTCCAAAAAAAAATCAATGGATAATAACATTAACCTTACGCCGAAATTTTATGTTGTTTGCATTCCGTGATGCTGGTAATATCTTCAGAAATCTGTGCGAAAAAGATAGTCATTAGCTTGCAAGCCTTGAAGTCATTTTCTTGTGAATGCACGCCAAAAAAAAATATATTTCATCCGTACCTTATTTGCGTAAGTCTCAGTAATTCTTTATCAACGCTTCTAAACTGCAACACGCCAGTTTATTTCTAAGTAAGTCCAGAATCTTTGTTTAGACACGGTCGTCATATTGCAACAAAAATCGCAGACGCATTTTATATGATAATTACCTTAACCACAAAATTTCTGAATAGTTACTGCGCGGATACCTGTAATTCAATAGTAGATTGTATAGATGCGTAAATTTTTTACTAATCTAATGCGGACTTTAAGGGAAGAGTTATTAGAAATATAGACTTTAACCAAGCCTACGAGCGTGAATATATGCAAATAAAAAGGAAATTTATCTGTATGAGCCTCATTTTACAATAAAAAAGTCTTACCTGGTTCCGACTTATGCTTGATCTTTGATTTTAGTGGGTTCATACGCTAATAAATAATAATGGAAAGTGTTAGATAGGTTGAAGCTTCATGAAATTAGCCCCTGCCCGTCGCAAGACCTAACCATCGTCGCAAGAAAATGGCTTAGGACAGGGCAACAGTTTGTCCGCTCGCAAGAATCTATCTAGCCCATCGTCGCAAGAAAATGGGCACGGGACAAACTGCTGATACTCGCAAGAGTTTTCGTATTCGAAAATAAAACTTATCTTTTGATTCTGGTTAGATAGAAGAAATCATCAAACAAAAGTTCTGGATCAGGTGATCAGATCTGCTTTTTTCAGCAACTCATCCCGTCACCCTTGAATAGTATACGTACTCAAGATTATTTGATTAATTAGGTTCTGCTTTTACGTCATTTTTCTTAGTATAGTTTTAACGCGTCTCGTATATCCAAGTTTACTTACTGGGCAATGTCGTTCACACCAATAAAAGTTGGTTGATTCTAATAACATAGCTAATATATCTAATTCTTTGGTATGACTTTAGCCATGAAAGGATTTATAGATAAATACTTTTTTACAAATTTACCCAACAATTGGAGTCTTGAGTCTTTTGTTTTAGAACATAACGAACCAGGATACGTTAAAAAGGACTGTTTATATCTATATAAAGAAGGTTTGCAGAACATTTATAAGTCGTCTGAGTTTGACGATGAGGTGAAGTCTGTGGCGAAGAAGTTGATTGAAACTTATGAAGAAGATAAAAAGAAATGCACAAACTTGCTTGATTCTCACTCAGCTAGGGCAACTATTCACCAAAATAGGGTAAGGATCTTGTGTTATTCAATCATGCACTTTTTTTACCAAGCTGTTTAGCTAAAATTATCAAATTATTAGCTTTCATTATTGGTCAGCAAAGCGAAGTCCGCGAATGCCACAATAGACGCAGTTTTTACAGAAGCTGATACCTCATTACAAGGAGTTAAAACACCAACACCAAAGAATGTTCCAAGAGAAACGGAACATTTTTATACATCACCGGAACAATTTGATGCAACATCACCTGTTTTACCAAGACGTCTTTTTAGTCAAGTTGAACCGGACTTTTTTGTTGAGAATCCACAAGGTAGTAAACGTAATCGCGATTCTGAAGAAGGAGATGATACTGAGGAGTTCAACGCGGATCAAACTATCACTGGAGGTAAAAATGTTGTTTGGTTTGTAGACGGTATTGACATTCGAAAAAAATTTACGGAATATCAGCTGGGAACAAAACTACCGAAAACAAAACCCGAATATTACGACGTAATTTTTTTCAATGCTATAGATAAAAATGGTTTTTTAGAAACACTAGAAAAAAGTACGGTAACGCAAATGCTCAAAGATATAACAGAGAAGGAGAAAGAAACCTCAAATAATAAAGAACAGGAGATTAGATCGCTATTAGATGAAGTTATTTCTCGTGACATCGATATGTCTAAAAAGAAACTTAACCAGCGGAGAAGACTAAATGAACCATTTGAAAGAGAATTCGCGTTACACTTTGTAAATCACATGTAAGTCTTTATCTATATATTTGTTTTGTCTAATAAAATATAATTAATCATGATTTATACAGGATAGAGCTAATGGAAGACACAAATTTGCTTCTTGAATCTATATCCGAAGGAACTTACATCGTTAGTGTATTAGGGCCAATTCTCAATAAATTTTTCATAAAAAACAAAAAGAGTTGGCGTGTTAAATATGGTGAAACTTGTCTCAAGGCAAGTGCCTTGGACTGCAATTCTCAGAAGGAAGATGACAATCGCAGATCTGCCGGAAGGAAGATCGATGCAATTATTACTTTAAAGGAGGAAGATGAGGAATTTTCAGTTGTTGAAGTAAGTGGCTCTCCATCAAAACAAGATTGGACGCATTTTAAAGGCGATCGAATGAAGATTGTAAAGATGCTGAAGACTTTGATGAATCGATTAGCTGAACTTCGCCCTAATTCTGATATTAGAGAGATTAAACTGTATGCAATGCAGTCATATTGTAAGTCTTTTATTTGTAATTTTGCTTGTTATTTTCGTGTTACTAACTTTGACATTCACAGTACATGAACTTATTATTTACGAATTCCGACTTAAATATGCTGAGATTTACACGATGATAGAAGTTTTAAGATTTCCCTTTCCAAAGACGTGGAAGGATATGAACGAGGCTTATGAGGTCGTAATGGGCTTACTAAAATACGAAGTTTGTATGAATTATAGTTTGTAAAAAAATCAAAATATAAATATGGGAACTAATTATTTTCATAAATTAGCGTTTGCTATCTTCAAGCTCGGAAGAGATACAAGATTTTTTGTGGAGTAAATGCAAAGATTCTCAAATAATGACCACACGAATGATTTATTCTCCCGGTGGACGCACTAAGAAAGCACGAACTGCTTAAAACTCTTACAGCTTAGTTTTTCTTATTTTACATGTAGTTTGTCAAACCAAAGATCATTTGCTAAGATTTCAGTAACTGTTGCAAAAAATAATTGTATGATTTTTCTGCTAATAAAATTTGTGATTATACACATACATCATTCCGCATATACAATAATTAAAAAATGATTTCCATCTCCTGAAGTAGCATAGTTTCGGAGGGAATTTATATTTGCTTTCTTTCTATCCTCCGATACTTTTGATTTGTCATGCTGGTCTTAAACCGAACTAAAGTTAGATGGATTATTGTTAGGTGTTTCTGTTCTACCTTCGTGATTCTGTCTCTAAGCTTGGCATTCTCAGATACGAGTTTGACTTATTTTTCTCTAGCTCCTCGATATGTGTTGCCTCAATGAATCTATTATGGATTGCATACCTGCATAGTTTATGCTCTATATATTAGTATTCAAAATATGCATGCAGAAATAAATACAAAGTTTGGAACCCAATTTTGATGAAGATTGAACATCGGGATTCAGCAGGTTCTGGATATTTACCAAACCATCACTTCTGGATGCTATGATCGTCACAAAACATGGAACAAATATGGTAACAGCTGATGATCACTGCTTCAGATTAGTTAGATCGGTAGAGTTTCACCATCCTGCTTGATCGTTGAGTAATCTATCAACAGATCTCGACATTAAGGTGGAAATGATACCTTGAGTCGGTGTTTGTCTATTTATAGCTATAATGAGGTGATCGGCACCAGAGTCAACCGTCATGAAACTAAGATGCTGGTATAACTGAGGTAGAACTGAATTCAGATTATTACCAACACTATGCCGAATGTTATATATCCGTCCTATCTCTTGATCTAATTCAGCTCGCATATCCATAGAATTCATGAAATCCTCAACATAGATATTTGGATTAAGTAAAATGAGCTGATCTATGGCTTCTTTAGTAATATTAGTACACCCCTCCAGATTAAGATATTTTAAATAAAGACACGAACGAGAAATTTCTTTGATAGTTACATCAGTAATTCCAC